CGCGTTACACTGAAGCTGCCCCATGTCTGAAGTTACACAGTAGTTGTAGTCAGTGAAATAAAGACACTGACTTTCTTGATTCGTTCTTGGCTAAGAGCAATCTCTTGTACATTCCTACCTTTCACCCCTTCTTCATTAAGTGGAAAATCCAAAGTTTCCTTTAATCAGGTTTGAGCTTGGACTGATGTGATGTTTACTGACTGAGACAGTGGTTTTCAAACGACGTCAGGAACATCTGGCCTCGTGGCTTGGCAGGGAGCCCAGCAAATTGCCAATCCAAAGGCCCAAGTTCACAAGCAGCTTTGGGGCTTTCATCCTGTAACAAGAAAGCCCTGAGGGCAGTGGAGGTGGTACCGCTCCTCCCTGTTTAATCATGCTGCTTTACTACCTATGTGTTCCACTGCTGATCCCTGTGTACTGTCAGAGCCCTCTGATTAAGTTCCTGCAGGCATCTGTCAAGGCCATGCCATGCTGGCCTTGTCTCTACCTTCCTGTTGTGTCCCAGCACTGCCACCATCTCCCACTCCTACGTGTGGTGGGAGCTGTGGGGCAGATGGGATGAAAGGAAAGCTGTTCCTGCTCCAAGCAGTGGCAGCACACAACACATCCCTGTGTATGTCACAGCAGGTCCAACCCTACAACGCTCCCCACATTTCCATCTGTCTTTACAGACTCCCTGAGGCACCCGGGAAGTCTGTGCCATGCAAAGGGTTGAACCCAGGTCTCCAGCCTCCCAGTGGAGCAGCCTGACCAGGAGACCAAGCTGACATTGTGTCAGCAAGGACCGCCTGGGAAGCACAGCAGCAGCAGATGGTCTACATACGGAAAGCATTTGCATCTAGTGCAGTTTACAGCTACAGACACTTTTTAAAAGTTAATTCTCTAATGTTTTACTTGTCTGAGTTGCTTCTACTCCAACAAGTAGATCCGTTGACTCCATCAAATGGATAAGTAGGACTTCAGATGCAACCAAAGATTGGATCTCACTGTGAGGGATCTTAAGTACTATGACCTGGGCCCATCTGGTTCAGATTGCATTCTCTGTAATGGGTTGTTGGCTGGAGCATGAAAGTTTAACTCATCCTACACTGCTGAAATATGCACTATAGTTAAACAAAAAGCAGGCGGTCTCTGTTTGCATTTGGGATGTATATCATTGCAACATACCTCATGTAAGGAAACAACGGTGCTTGTTTACATGCAAGTGAAAATCTCTGAAGGTAGAGGATTATGTGGCTTTCACTGCATGGAAAATGGATGTGGAGAGGCTCACAGTCAAATTAAAAGTGTGTTTGTTAAAAAACAAAACAAAACACAGTCCTTTAGGGATTAGCACCAGTTGTCTTGAAACGGTTAGTGAGGTGAGAGGGAAAAGCAGCCAAGGGAAAAACAAGCCTCCAAAAGTAAGTGACCGATTGCTGAGAGAATGAAGCGTCTCCATCCTGACCTCCCGTGAGCTCTGAACTCTGCCGGCACTGTCCAGCCTCCTTCCCTCAGACATACAAAGCTTATGGAGAAAAAGTCATCTTTGTTCCACGAAATATTTACTTTAGAGAAGGGAAGGTCTTTTGTATATTGTCACTGACCTTGGGGGGGGGGGGGGAGGATTGTAATCAGGTTTCATGATCACAATTTTCACAGCTGCACATAATAATTTGATTCAGGTATTTGATTCACGCATTGAAGTTGAAAACTTGTCTAGAGCTAACAAATGCTCTGCTTTCCCACAGACTGCAGAGAGGAACCTACCACCTGCCTATCAGCAGCTATTGACCCAGGCATGGACCATGAGTGGAAACCCTTTGTCCTGAGCACTATAAGAAAAGGGAAAGGAATAAAAAAGTAAAATTAAAATGCCTACATCTAGCATTCTTTTGTGTCTGATGATTTTTTTTTTCTTCCCAAAGCTAGCAAATGAAAAGGAAGAGCTAATAGGAGCTTGGCTCCTTCTCCTCTTCCTGAGACAGAGTGGGGTCTACAGAATTTCCTGCTCCTGTGCAGCTATCTTAGAGAGGCTTAAAAACACAGCCAAGTCCAAGAAAAATCAAAGGGCGATCTCTGAAAAGGGATACAGAATTTCCAGATCCTAGGGTGGGAGCTGCATTGATGTGGCAAATTACATGGCGGTGGAAAAAGGAAGCAGGTTCAGTGTAAGATTTCATGTGGATGCCCTTTAGTGCCTCAACAATGTAATGGGGAGAAGGGGTGGGGGTGCCTGGATGTGGGAGAGGAAAGATCCAGACTCCTTATTTCCTCTGTAACAAAACACAATCACTTACTACTTCAAATGCTGCCTTACCCAGCAATAACATGTAAGTGCTTTACAGACCATGGTTGGAAGCTTTATTCCTTCAGTGTTGAAGCCACAGAGACATTAACATGTCAGCCTGCTCTGACTGTGGGATCTCTCACTGATGTCATGCTGTCAAGGTACTGTGGGTCAAAATAAGGCAGTGCAAATCGGGAAAATTTGAATTCCCAAAAAGACCACAACTGCCCATTCTTGATGAAAAATTCATCCCATTTATCTATTTATGCATGTGTATTTAACTTATTTACACACTTGAATTAGGTATGATCAACTGGGCAGCTGCAATTGCTCAGGGTGAGCTTTCAAAAGAAGAGGAAATCCACCCTTTCTGCAACCAGCTCTTACTAACACCTTATCAGGTGATCTGATTTATAACAATCAGAGAAAAATAATAATAATTTAAAAAAAAAAGAGCAGAAAGGAATGAAGTAGAAACAAGATGTACAATTGCAGAAACATCCTGAAGACTTCACTGTGCTTGGATGAAGGTTGTCACAGCAGGACAGAGACAAAAGGTGTTGAAGAAGGTGTTCACTCACCCAAACCACAAGCAACACCAAATCCTGCCTACCAAGTCACCTACCATTAGCTCTACTGGTATAATACCAGAAATATGTTTGGCTTTTTTTAGTCTTCCCTCACAGATTCAGGCCTGAAATAACATCCTCTTATTTTTAAAGAAATCTTATGAAAATGCTACAAAACTGGGAATAGGTGGAGGGCAGAGAGTTTAGGTATTCAGCAGGGATGTACAGGAAAGCCCATGACCTCTGAGCAGACAGTTTGCCATTTGTGTCATCGTCTTTCTGTGCTTTAAGCATCAAGGATAATCTGGAATGCACTCCTGCTTTGGAGACAGATGGCAGTGAGGAAGTAGGTTGGAAGAAAGGAATAATAAATATCTGAAGGTGAGTAAATGTCTTGGCTTTAGGCAGCTGCGCCTGTGGTTTTTCTCAGGGTGCACAAATGTCCCCACATTTACTGTGCAGAACGCTTCTAGTAACTTTTTTATTGCGTGTTTCCTGTACTGTCTGGTGGAGGGTCAGAGATGTTAAGAGCTGGGGGAAATCTGAATTTGAGAGCACTGCATGATCAGGGTGTGATAAAACAGATTGATGGGCCCGTTTGCTGCAGGCAAGGCAGAGTTAGCTAGGCAGAGCAAAAAGGGTTATGGAAGGTTTCTGTTACCCAGAGGGTTGCTTTTGCCAACTTTTAGACCACTAAGAAGTCAGTTTACCTTCTTCACCATGCTGCTGTATGTATATCCATCAGTAGCTGAACAGCTGCAAGAAATCAATATTCATAGTCTATTTGAGATACCCTCTTGCACCCTTCCTTCTGGGAACTTGGTGAACATCAAAAACACTGAGATTCACCAACAGATAGGGGACAGACTTTTTCTTTTCTGAGTTGTCTGGTGGCAGAAGACTGATGGTTGGACATGGATGTGGAGGCAATTGTGTGCTATAATGTACTCTTGGGAAGGTTTAAATCATGGCTTTTGCTAACAACAGTACAGAGCCATCCATCAAATGAAAATAGCTGGAACATGACAGCCAGTTTCCCAGCCCCATTCATTCTCTGTCAGGAGGGAGAGGCCTAGTGGAGAAGTCATCCATCCACTGTCTGAAGAGCATTATATACTGTGAGAATGTGGGGACACTTATCTGTTCTTTGTTTCTTTATGGTGTAAAGTTTGCATCACAAACTGAACTGCCACCTTAGGTGGAAGAAGGGTAGTTCCACAAAGCAGTGCTATGCAACTGTTTAGAGCTGAAAAATGGAGAAAGAAAAAAAAAAATCAGAGCCAAAGTACACTTCATGCAGTTGACATAAGAGGCTGAAAAGAGATAGGCAGTTTGTAATTACTTACATTGGAATATGGCCAGGACATCGAGGTTAACATCACAACTTCACAAGGACTTCAGAAGCAGCTGAGGATCTCTCTGAGTTGAGAAGACGTGCAGGGAACTTCCCTGAAACCTCCTGGCTTGGGCCATCACATGCAATACATGCAAGCTCTCGCCCGGGCCAAGGCCAGGGAGGAACAAAATGGGTAGGAGCAAGACCTGATATGTCTTCATTGACATGCCAGAACCAAATAAACAAACAGCAAGGCTGTTGCTCTTCAGCCCAGGGCTGTTGGTCTTCTGCCACAGAGTTGTCATTCTTCTCGACAGTGTGCATCTGTTTGGGTAGTCCACCTTCTGAGATGAGAAAGCATAAGAGGGTAAAGAGTAAAAAAGGGAGACACAGCTGCAGCCCGTGAGCATCCCACACCACAGCAAACACAAGGGAGAATTTAAAGAAATTCTACACAGCCAAGAGATAACCAAATTTTTTCTTTAAAAAAACGTTGGTTTCAATAAGCATAAGGGACATCTCTGGGCTCGTGCCATCTGTAACACATGCGAGAAGCACAAGCTACCGGGTGTCTCTCCACCAATGCAAATATATTTTATGGCAGCTCTTAATTTGACCCTAACCAGACTCAGAGGCAATAATTTTTGAGTGTTTCTCTGCAGAAAGACCACACCTCAAGTTTTTCTTGGAACTCAGCTACATTAAGAACAATCTTGTTCCTTAGGGGCTGGGCTGTTTTTTTTTTTTTTATTTATACTAAGAACTCAGGTGTTTGAACCATGAACTAAGATGCCAATGCTTCACCTTGTTGCTTTAATTTAAACAGGCTGCAGCTTCACAAGAGAAACACATGAAATGCTGAAAAAAAAGCAAAGATGGCGTATTGACTGCGACGTGAGAGCAAAGACGTTTCTTCTATTCATTCAACTTCATGAAGAGGGTGAGAGAAAAGGAGGCTTTGGCAAAAGACATTTTGCACACGTTAATAGATGCATAGATGAGCTCTGTACCAGTCAAAATAGGAAATACCACCCATTAAATGTTGGAGGGAGTGAAAAGCTTTGTGAAACTGTGCCGTGGAGTGCTAAGTAGAATGGAAAAACCATCATTCCTAAAGCTAGTCTTTAGAGATTTCTGGGAAAATTGGCTTACCCACTAATTTTTGCTCAAGTCTTGATGTGACTGGTCTTAACCCTGGCAAGTACTCTAATCTACTCACTTAATCTGGCTGCAAAACAATGCCGTGCTGCAAAGAGCTGAGATGCTGTTTAGGTAATTTAGCTTAACTTTTTCTTTCCCCTGTTGCAAGCTGAGCCAGCCCTTTTTGTTCACTTAAATGGCTTCTTCTTCAAAGGGCTTGTGGAAAAGTCTTATTTCTTCCCCCAAGTGACAGATTTTTAAGTAATCGCGAAGATATCTTGTCCAACAGAATTACCCTCCACAAATCTGACCCTGACAGAGCTGAGGTAAAGTGTGATTTTTAACCTCAAGCACTAAAACATGTCAGGAAAGTTGTAGTTGTGGTGGAAAGACCTTGAGGTGGCTAAAATTTATGGAGAAGAGACGTTAGAAGTTTTAAATTCCAGATGTTTGAAGCTCCAGCCATTTGGTGAACAATCGTGGAATTCTGGACCATTTCTCAAGCACTGATTTCAGCCTCAGAAATCTATGCAGAATATGATCCAGCTATATAAATTGTCTGTTTTTAATTTATGCAAATAGTTTATTCATACCCTGGGACATGAAACATTTACTGTTTCTTAGAATGACTGAAGAAGACATATCACATTTTCAAAGGGGCATCCATGTATTGTTACCACAGAATCCCATATAAAATGCTATTCAGCTTTTTTAGTTTATTGAGCAAACCTGTAAGATGATGTATTGCAGAGCTATTAGAAAATGTATGCCACAGTTCGAGTCACTTTAACCCCATTGCTTGATTTAGGCTAAGTATGAGGGATAAAGACTGCCATTGAGACTGTATTTGATTTCTGTTTCAATTCTTGCCTCAAATTCTTATTTAAAGTCAAGTTCCCTGGAGTGTTTGTATTATAAGGGTCTGTAACAGCAGAGGCATGTGTTGTAAAGTCAAATTATTCACCTCCCATCCTGAACTGTGGGAAAAGGAAATCAGGGAATCTAATAAGATGGGAACAGTTTAGATGTAGATGGGATATAATAATAGACTAAAAAGGGAAAAAGAGGCTCAGACAGACAAAGAAAAAAATAATAATTTCAGGAATTAATTTCATCTGCTTTAACCTTGGTAGCAGAGACACCATTCTGCTGGGACTTCTTCCCAAAAGAAGAGACCTGATGCTGTTTGCATGGAAGCAAACTCAGGGGCAGCAAAAGCAGCCAGAATTTTTCTTATTAACCTCTGGCTGTCTCTGTTGAATCAAAGCAGTTTGCTTCCAGGTAATGCTTTGTCATAACTGGTTGAAAAGAAGAGGCAACAGTTGCTCAAGTACAGCTAGATCTAGCTTTTTTGCCCCCCTGCAACGAGTGAGGCAAGGGTTTTCAGAGGAAACAGCAATGGCAGAAATATTTTGGGGTGAAAGGAGACAGGTCAAATCAAAAAGTTCTCACTCCTTAGCATCCTCAGCCTGTTTGGGAATGACAAATTGGAGGCAGGAAAATAAGCTAGAACATGACTGCAAGGGAGGAGGAGCAGTGTGTAATAGATGACTTAATAACAGGTTGCACTGATGGACAAATTGCACCTCTGTACTGTTTCCCTCCTTGAGCTGGCAGAAGAATGCTTGGATCCTTGTCAGGAAAGCTAAAAGATGGTTCCCAGTTGGAACATGCAACTAATCCATTGGCCCCACGCCTCCAGCACCAGGCCCTAGACCTAGCACAGCCTCAACATCCTTGGTAGCAGGAGCACCCTCAGGAAAAAAAAAAAAAAAAAAAAAAAAAAAAAAAAAAAAAAAAAAAAAAAAAGAGGGGGGAGGCACAAGGCAAAGGGTTAGACAGGCTTCAAAAAAGACATGGATTAGGTTTTAAATTCAACTCCTTTGTAGTTTTATTTCCATCCATATCTCTGTGTGGCCAAGCAGCTCCATTTCCCCTGGGAGCAGCCAGTGGGACCGCAGGGCATTGGCAATGAACACCTGAACATCATGCATGGGAGAGCCTGGATATCTGCCATGAAGGTCCTCAGTAAGATAATTTTACCTGACCTAAATGTTGGGGTCTGTGGGCAATATCCCCTTTCATGAGGGAAGCTGCTCATCACAATGTGGGTTTTCCCAGTAATTCATTTCTATATGGCATAAGAGAAGCTGTCATTAGTAAGCATCCTGACACTTTAATAAATAAGGCTTCCTAAAATAACCTTCAAGTATTTTACAACACACACCATCTTTCCTATGTGCTGGGTGTGATGTACAGCACCAACAATGATCTGACATAATTCCTCCAGAGGGCTCTTACTTTGCTCTAACCTCTAACCTCTAACCTCTAACCAGAAGGCTCTTACTTAGGTCTGCAAACTTTTTAGGTCCTATTGCTTTAGTGCAACAGTTGGGGCTGCTCTGTCCCTACTTTCCCCACTCCCAGCAAATCCCAGGTCATTTTGTCCCCTTTCCCTTCCCAGCGTCCTCAAGAGCTCTCAGTAAAGGTTACAGCCTTCCCACCAGGGCTGGAGAGAAACAAATTAGAGGGGAAAAGGAAATGCTAATGGCAGATGGGTGCTCCTGGGGCTCCTAGTGTTCCCTCGCTTGGGATATGTTCACACCACAAGCCCCCAGAGCAAGAATGTCTGCTCTTAGTCTTCATGAACACAAATACCAAATAAAGACTGTAAATTTAGGGAATGGGCTTGTGGAATGACCCCAAATGATGTGTGGGCTAGGGAGAAAATATGCCCTACAAATTTCAGGGGAAATGAAACATCCCCTTTTCACTGAGGTCCTTTGATGGATTTTGAGGCACATTCTTACTTTCAGCTGGGCACTTGGGGCTGGCACAGATGCCATCTTTCAGTGACAGCATTTTCTACTTGAGATGCATATGAAAGAAAAAGAGAAAAGAATAGTTATTGAAATTTCCCCCGAGGTGTCTCCTCCCCAATCATTAAATAATTATTTTCCAAAATAAAATTATTCAGCAAAATACTTTCCATCCCTTTTAAACCTGGGTGCCCTGTTTTTTTTTCGCATCACTGCTTCCTGTGCACCCTATAGGTGTGGGACTGTTGGTGTGTTAAATTGGTTTCTGCCCTACCAAGACCAGTAAACCCTGCACAAACAAGCCTGACCAGTAAACAGCCCTCAACAAGATGTTAGGCAGCTGCTCTTTTTGGTCAGTTCTTGACATTATAGCTACTACAATAAGTCTGTGTGTTCAAGATGTGTAACAATAATCTGTCATAATCTGTCATTGATAAAACAAACCAAAAAAAAAAAAAAAAAAGAAAGAAATTACTTGTCCTGTATTACCCTAAAAATAAAATCAGATAGTGTCATGACCCTTCCTGACTTCATCATTAATGCATAATTTAATTATTAATAATAATATTTAAGCATTCACTGTATTCACAACTAAAGACTCCCTTCCGCCAGGCCACATAAAAGTGCTGGCTGCTCCCCAAAGACGTTGTTGCCTAAGGACCAACCACCAAATGCACTGTGCATGGTCATGTCTCTACCAGATGGTTTTCAGCATATCCTGAGAGGCTGTCTGAAGGACAAAGCGAGGAACTTCTGAAGGAGCTATGCAAAGTGACGCGAAAAAGCAAGTCCATGCATGTAATACAGTAAAGTACATAAGATTATAAAGAGATCAACATTCTTTTGGAAAAGCTGAGGAATACCCAAATGGTAAAAAATTGAAAACTATCCCATCTACACACAAGGAACTGGAGAATTTGACTTAGGGATGTAATCAGTGGCACCAAGGCAGACACATGGCATGCTGGAAGGGACAGTGAAGAACTGCCAGGTCAAGCATAGCACTTGAAAAAGGTGACATCTATGTAAAAAGTCTGTGCCTCAACAATAAAAATAAAAAATAAAATAAAAATAAAACAAAAATATAATTAAAAAATATAATTAAAATAATAAAATAAAAATAGTGCATTAAATTCGATTAAAATAAAATAAAATAGAATAAAATAATAAAATAAAATAAAATAAAATAAAATAAAATAAAATAAATAAAATAAAATAAAATAAATAAAATAAAATAAAATAAAATAAATAAAATAAAATAAAATAAAATAAAATAAAATAAAATAAAATAAAATAAAATAAAAATAAATTCAGAGCATCAACACCTGAATTAAAGTTCTGTCACTAGGCTGAAAAGTCAAATATTTAAGTGGAAGAAAGCATGGTCGCCCAGTCCATGGCTGTGGTGTTAATTATGGTCTTTGAGCTGGGCGCCTTGAAGACACGTGGGAGGGAGCTCTCCTAATCTGGGCTGACTGGAAATGACAAACGGCCGTAACAAAACTCCAGTGTGCTGGCAGCATTTTATAGAGCATCTATGGAGACTTGGGGACGGGAAGCCAACCAAAACTTTAATCTCTGATTAAAAAAGAAAATAAAAACAAAGAAGGAAAATAAGTGGGATTTTTAAATGTGTTTACACACACACGCAATTGCTTCTTTTTTACTGCTAATGAAAACAGGATACATAGGCAGAGCTGGTACTTGCAGTAATAAATCCATGTACAGTAGCCCAATAATCCATGATTTCATGCTCAGGGTAAAGGTAGTCTGGCAGAGCTATGAGTCACACAGTTTAAAATAATGGCTTAGGCTCTACAAGGAAGAAGTCTATCCTATAACGTATGTGAGGGGTCTTAGAAACAGCAAACAAAAACTGCATTTTGTTCTTGTGTTTCCAGCAGTCACATTTGTCACCCTTTAGGACTGGGCACATAATTTTTTTGACCGGACAAAACAGGGTCACACTAACACTGGCAAA